TTTTACTTGACGGACAAAAATCTGCATGTAAAGATATGGAAAGGATGTTATTAAACTTAGCTTAGTCCACCAGCCAAGTTTACCTATCATCAAAATGCAGGAAAGAGCGATTCAGAGGGCCAAGATTTAAAACTTTTCCTACTGGAGCATGCCCCACGCCATGTTATGATAGTTGTACCTCCAGCACTCAACATGATGTTCTGTCAAACAAAATTGTGATGACGGAAAAAAATTTAGGATAGCTAGAACACTGATACATGTAATGTACCTTAAGTTTGTAAAACAGGTTATCTTACAAAAAATCTGCACACCAGCAGATGGGTCACTGTACTGGTACAATTAAAAGCATTTGGCACACTAGACAATGTTTTTACAATTTCTACACCCTTGATCTGACTTAAACTATGATTGTTTTCCAGCGGTGTTCAGCAAAATGTAGCAGAATAACTACATGTGTACAATCATTGTGTATGTCATGGATGTCATAGTCTCTTCTGTTCCTTGCTGTGAAAGAGGAAAACTAGTGAGTAAAAACAGTATCATCAACCATTTGACAAGCTTATCACAATTCTTTTTTTTTTCATACCTGTACTTAGTCAGGTATAAAACTATCTGCACCTAAAAAATATAAATTATAATTATCTGCACCTGTCCACTTCAGAAATCATGCTATGGGACTGGTGAGGTGAGGAGTACTAGCATTTCATACATGTAGCTGGTAACTATCAGCAAACAAAAATCAACATATCGGATGTGCAAATGTATATTGATACTAAGTACATTTGTACATCAGAGAATCTGCAAGAGTTACAGACATGTGACCTTATTTACACGAGACTTCATGGCTATGTCGTGACGTCAGCAATTGGTCAAATGTGCCAGGGAATTCATGTAAGTACTCTTCAATGCCTCGTCTCTATTCTAGTTGTATACCCTAACAAAGCTGATTGTTTGATTCTACGGCTATTCCGAGATCAGGGTGCGCCAATGGCATCGTGATGTCAATCTTACTCTGTATTTATCGCATTCTGTTGACATTTATCAAACTTGTTATACTAGTGCAGTTATTTTCCAGACAATCAGGAAGAGATTTGGTGTTAAGATGTTTAAAACTTATGCTATGGCCAATTTAAGACCAGAAATTGGCATAAAATCTACGTTATGCTGTTGCACTTGAAAAATGCCAGTTTTTGAAATATGCTTCTAAGTAATTTGGGAACAAAAAAATGGAATGAAAAGATTTGCAATATGTTCAGACATGCTCAGTCTGATATTTTTTGCAAAAAACCTGATGATGATTGGAAATTTCTCTTTTCTAGAGCGCATGTATCAATATGTTGTACACGTTATGTAAAATTCATAAATTAACACATTGCAACTAACTTATTTCCCTGTACTAAAAAGGATGGTGATAGAACTGGCCATTTTGCATGTTATGCAAGGTACATCCATATATGACACAAAACATGTGTTTTTATGTTGCTTGTCCTTTGGGTTAATATGGCTGATGGCTTACAGTTACCTGTCTTTTTTGTCCGAGAAAATGTGTAGTGTCCGTTGCTCGGTAATAACTTAAAATAGAAAAGCTGTGGGTGCATATGATTTCAGGTTTTGAAACAGCTGAAGATGCTGACTTAAAACACAG